CCCTGCTGTGCTGTGATTGGCTAGCACTCATCATGCCCATGTGTTTAGGAAGGACACGGTTAGAGTTACGGCGGATGCCCACTGTACTCGCTTAAACTTGCGTCTGCCCTGTTCTAGCGGTCGCTTATGACTGGAGCTTGAGGCTGTCCTGACATGAGCTCTGTTTGAATGTTTCAAATTGTCACATCTTTGTGTCACGCCGTCAGCTTGGTCTGCATCACAGGTATCCCAGCATGCTTTGAGCAGCGAATCAGTCGCTTCAAATAAACAATGAATGGGAGCAAACTTCTGGTGGTGTACAGTGGGCATGCACTGTTACGCAAAGAAGTCGTGGTTGGGGTTAGTGCTTGTAAATCACAGCAAGGGTTGGGTATCAAACTCTGTACTTTTAAGGGTACCAATGGAATTGCATAAGTAGTACTGAGTACCAATTTACTTCATATCAATCTGTGCCAAATGCCAGCAACAGAGCACCACAGAGCCGCCAGGTTGAACTTCAAACAGGAGACGGAAGCATCTCAAAGATGGGAAGCCAGCCATGGAGCTCCACGGCTGCTCTATTGGCTCCCAGCAAGACAAAACAATCGCTGCAGCTCTGATCTGCAACAATAGTTTTGGCGTCTGGTGTTTTTGTTTTTTTTTTAGTACTAGCCTAGTGTCACTGCTAGATGAGAGGACATGCACACATACACACAGGCAGACAGACAGAGGCAGATGATTTGCTCTATGTGTTGGTAGAAAAGAGCAGAGGAGCACAACGTCTTTGGAGTCTGCTAAAGTCACGCATGCAGCTTACTCAAAAGTGATTACAGTTAAAGTAAAGTACTTTAAAAAGGTACAATTGTGTACCAAATTCGAGGTAACGGAACAGGAACTGGTACCGGTATTGGTTTAAATGTGAATGGTAACCAACCCTAATCTCAGCATAGTATAGCAGGACTAGGTGGTACACTCTTGGGGAAATAAAATAACGTGCATGTCCAAGTCGTGTGCATGTCTTTTTCATGTCCCGTGGAAAACAGTTTCCGTTGAGTTGTGAGCATACATGCACATGTCATCATATTGACGTTACCCTTCATCATCGTGTGTATTGAGCTTTTATGGTCACCGTGCAGGAGGGAGAAATCACCGACAGAAAGGCAGGATGAGTGAAGCGGATCAGACGTGGTAGTAAGAGGAGGAGCAGGAGCAGGGTCAGCTGTGATAGACCTCTTTTCTTGACCTTCTTTTAGATCTGTCAACTTCAGAGCAGCCGGTCAGCGACCTTTGACCTGACCCCTGATAACCTTGTCTCTCCCTGATTCGACCTGAATTTGTCTGGAGAGTTTGTATCAGTTTGGATGCAACACAGAACCACCAGACAGAAGAGCGTCTGTCTTATGAAATGCGTACAGCCCTGATCCAGACACTGATACACCTGGCTGCAGAAACTTATCTGAGCGAGTGTCTGTGTGTGTGTGTGTGCGTGTGTGTGTCTGTGTGTGTGTGTGTGTGTGTGTAGATGCAGACAGATGCAATGAGTGATAATAAACTAGACATAACGAGAAGATGGAGATTCCTCAGACCGAACACTAACAGTCTGACTGGTGTTCACCAGCCTGCTTATGTTTTTATTCACCACTTCACAATGCAGGTAGCAGGGCCTCATCACGCAGATATATTAAACACATTAATTAGCGTGTCCTCTACCAGCAGGCTCTACTTGCTCTCTCTCTCCCGGCTTCTCTGGCTAGCAGCGACAATGTAAATATTGAGTGAGCTCAGGCATCCATATGGCAGCCAGTGATAAAGGACGGAGCGCGTGGGAGACACACATTCCGCCACCGACTTCCATTTCCTGTCTCTCACTCACTGGGTCTAACTAATTTCACAGATGACCACAGGCCTCTCGCAGAGGAGAAATACTGCACAACCTGTGTGAGCATCAAGTGTGTCAGTTACTGGAACAGATGGGTTTTTTTTAATTCGGTGACGCAGAGTGAACCTGGTGTAAAAAATAACAGGCTGATAATGACACAAAGGGATAACATGTACATGTACAGCTCCATGTAACATGACTTTTTACACTTCTTTGACGTAGTATTCCTTCGTGGTGTTGTATTTTGTCACTTGTGTTGCTTGTGTATTTAAACTCTTTCCTGACACTGTCATATTTTGTACTTTTAAGATGTTTTTATGTTTAAATGAATCGTGTGTATGTATTTGTGTTTGCAGACTTGCATAAAGCATTTTGAATTGAATTGAAATATGAAGAGCTGCACCATATTATTTTTACCATTACTTAATTTCACATTAAGTCTATGAAATGTCATAAAATAGTGAAAAGTGTCTATGACGAGTTCGCAGAGCTCAAGGTGACAGCTTTAGATAATGTTTTTGGGTTCAGTCATCAGCCCTAAACTGAAACATATTTAAATTATCATTATATTAGATGTGATCATTTTCTGTTGATTTACGAATAGACTGATTGACTTATTATCTCTAAGGTGTACCACAATCCCATACCCCTGCAATAAATACTAAATTTGGGAAGATTTTGCTGTTAAGTGTTGAACCACTGTCCGACGGCTGCAGATTCAACTGTGAGAGAAGCATTTTTGTGATCATTCTTCATAGTATTGTGTGACATTATAAAGTGTTCTAGTGATTTATCTAATTTTACCTAGCAACCCACAGGACACAGGTCCTGGTTGGTGTTTCATCACTTGGCTTGAAAATCTCTCATTTTAGTGAAAGAATCTTTGTCAAATTTGACTTGAGAGCAGTGCTGCTTCAACATTACTATAAGATAACACAGACATTACAGACGTTAGTTATGGAATAAGGAAAATAAATTCTATATTATAAGTCCCTGCCTTCGATTAGGTCAATATAAAATCATATATGATATGAAGGCCTATGGGACACATTTTTTGTGGTAATCTTGTATAGGATGGCACAATGTTATTCTGCCCACATCGTGCAGGATATATAATCTAGTCTGGGTAGTGTGGCATCACTTGGCAGGTATCAGCTCCACATAACCTTGGTTTCAGTCAGAGTATTTTATAATCTCTGTACAATTTGATTTTAGATTACGGTTAGTTTAAATACTAAACAAAAACAGCAATACTATTAGAATAAAACACAATTTAGTTATGTGATAAGGGAAATAAATACCTTTGTTTAGGTCACTACAAAACAAAAGTGTGAATTCGAGTCACATGACTTGAACTCGAGTCACAAATTTGATGACTCTCAAATTATCTTGGACTTTCATTCACACCGATGTCTCTGGACTTCACTTGGACTTAAGCCTTTTTTACTTTAAAATACTTGATACTTTTCCCCAAGCTCAAGATAACAAAGTAAGTTATTTAAAAGGTGCGCCACGGATCAGGTCATTTCCCTTAATTTATTGAATCAACTTACATTAAGGCTATCCATTCCCAGCAAGTTGACACTGAATGCCCCAGATCCATTTTGTTTGAACCAATCCAACATTATCCAAACAAGTCGCAGGAGAGAACTACGAAGAACTAACGTTACATTACTGAGCACCAGTTGGAAAAAATTATACCAAAGATCATTTTGTTCACGTGCAAAAACTACTTGGTGGTGAATAAAAAATAAATTGCAGCATGTAAAACATGCATTTTTAAAATTACTGATGGGGACGCAAGAACATTTGTGTAAATGTGATATATTATTACTCTGCAGATAAAATGGTATTACAGGTGGTGAAGAACGCTTTATGACATGTTCAGGGCTTAAAACTCAAACTTTAGGACTTGGGACTTGTCAGTATCGACTTGAGACTTATTTGTGACTGTCAAAACAATGACTTGGTTCCATCCCTGCTACAAAATCATAGCATAGTGTCAGAGTCACAATATTACAGTGACAGAACAGCCACATGTTGTGGCGATGTGTTGCACTGCATTATACTGTAAGGTGTTCCTATTATTCTGTCCACCCCCTGCAGAGTCGATGTAGCCTGGTAGCACACAGTATGAGCTCAGATCTGAAAAGCTTCACTTTTATAGAAGCATGTTAGATTTTAGAGGGATGCTGCCTCAATACCAGAACAAAACAACACGTCTATGATAGACTGTAGTTATGGGATCAGGGGAATGATGGGCCATCTTCTTTATTAGGTCACTATAAAATCCCAGCACAGTGCCAGAGACGCAGTACAGGAGTGTTATCACATATGACAGTGATGTAAAGGCCCATATAACAGCAGGCCTGTGCCCTGTTATAATCAGGCTTATTAGGCTTCATATTAACTGACTGTCTCATGTAGCCTATAAAAAGACACATGAGAGAAAGTCAATAGCAGGCCTGAAACAGGCCTACTGCAGGCCCACAGAGCCTATTTAAAGCCAACAGTGGATCGTTGTGCAGGCTGCGTAATGGACTTCATGAATGGGAATGCAGCCTCCTGCTGAATGGCTGACAGCTCCGGGTCCAGAAAGCTGGAGATGAATGGGAGCCTGCGTGCGGAGTCACGAGTCGGTACACTGATTTTGGATCATCTCGAGCGGGCCTGTGCATCAGATCAGATCACATCAGGCCCCTGATTCGTCCTGTCACTGACCAGACTTTACCCCCCTCAAGGCTATTAAATGGATTATCGGAAAAGCCCCTTTCACACAGCGACCCTCCTCAAGTCCGGGAAGCCTCATGCTCATCCTCAGTGTCTACGCTCAGCACCTCAACACGAGCCGACTGCACTTGGCACCCAAAAGGCGACTGTTAACGCAGGATTCATCGCGGCAGGCTGACTGTGCGCGGGGATGGATCGGGTCTGACACCATAACACTGCAGCCTCCATCTCCTCCTCAGCACCTGGAGCTGTGTTGTTGTTATTATCGCGGTGCTGCTGCTGCTGATGATGATGCTCTTTTTCCTGACATCACCTGCACACCAACAGGCTCGGCAAACATGTCTAATCATAAACGTCAGGATGCTCCAGACGCGCTAAATAAGAAATAAAAGAACGCAGCAGCGGCTCTCACCTCAATGCAGGACTGGTTTCATGACGCTGGTGTCTCTCTGACAGGATCCCGGTTTATGGCGTGAAGATGATGTTTATTCAGGATCAGACATGGTTTTTATTCCCTCTTCATCTGGTGCTCTGCTCTCCGGTTTACAGGCGCTCACAGCCGGCCAGCTCACCCTCCATCTCTCCGCTCGACGCACTGTGCTGCTGTACCTTTGGCTCTGCTGTCCACAAGACCACTGACAAGCCTAACAGATTCAGAAAAAAAAGCACTTCCGGTATATACTTTCACAATAAAGTCCCAAGCTGGGGGACAAATGAGAAGCCTATATACGGTTACTGTTTGGGGCCCACAGTTGAGTGTGCCCCACAGATATGTAGACAGGGAGGCATGTAAAAATGTAAATGGGTTTTAGTAATTTGATTGCAGTTTGATTACTTATACAACTATTTTAAGTTGCTTTTAATTACTTAATAATAGGTGAGAAAAACAGAGACAATATTCTGATGTAGTAGGTTTTGTTTGTTTATTTGTAACTGCATTTTAAACCAATGTAAATATTAATTCATTAGCAGAGTGTTCCCTGTGGAAGAATGACACACTCTTGCACGTTTCATAACATATATGACATATATGCCCCCAAATCAGACTGATGTTGATACCTTAATGTTTTGGCGCTTGACTCAACTTAGGAAAACATTTAATGACATTCAGCTTCACATGTCCTGGGTAGAAAAATGTATTTAGTTTGCTGAATGTGAATGTTACAATGACATGATGATTAACTATTCTCCAGGTGGACCAGATGAACAAAATAGTTGAGGTTCTTGGTATCCCGCCTGATCACATAATGGACCAAGCCGCAACAGCCAGGAAGTTCTTTGAGAAGCTTTCTGATGGTACATGAAGTGTTAAGAAGAAGATGGCAAAAGGGTGAACTCTTTTTTCTCTGTAGTTAGGGAGCGTAAAACTTGTGTTTCCAATTAATTTAAAAACCATATATGACATAATATGTGACATATATGCCCCCTAATCAAGAGTGATATTGATACCTGTAAAGCAATATGTCATTAGCCTATCACATAAATACATTCTCTAACATATATGCAGCACACTTAGTAAAATCTGTACGTGTTCATGTATTAAAAACATATCTATATGATGATGATTAAAGGTTGTATATGTTCCAAACATTTATTTATTTATTTGTTTAACCTTTATTTAACCAGGAAGTCCCATTGAGACTGAATTTTTTCTATACTGTGCCTGATTCTAAATGTTTGTGAACTATTGTGTGTTTATTGTGGTTACTGTATGGGTTTTGTGTGTAGATGTGTATGATTTGTATTGTGTTGGGTGTATTGGGTGTGATGGACCCCAGGAAGAATAGCCATGCTTAGGCAAGCACTAATGGTGGATCCATAATAAAAGAAAGAAAGAACAAATACAACATATAAAACAAAAACCCACAATAAAACTACAACTATTCAAACAACAAGCAGCCTCTCAAGAAAAACAAGCACATGTCTCTGTCACCACATTCTTTATGATGCCTTTAAATTCATCGATGGACATCAGTGATTCTAATCTTTTTTTTTTTTTCTTTTGTTTTTGAAGATTGTTCCACGTCCAAGGTGCAGAGTCTGTTAAAACTCAGCTTACATTAAAAAGCAACCACTTGGAGGAGCGTAGCTAGTCACCACCAGACCTGACACACAGAAAACACATTTAATTTATATATGCAAGTTTACGAAGACAACATACAGTATATAAAATTATCTAAGCGTATATGTTTTTCTTATTGATTTTAAACATACATGTCCACCTCCAGACAAAGCTTTAGTAAGACTTTGTGACAGCAGACTGTCAGCTGAGCAATGTCATGTCATATATAATATCATTCAACAACAGTAAAAAGTTTTACATATATACAGACAAGACATACAGATATTCACCTTATATGTACACACCATATTTCTCATAAATTAAATGTGTATGTGTAATACAGATATGTTTTATGTATAAATAGTTACATATGTGACACATGGCAATACATTTATGAAACATACATATTTCTATGGGCTGGACATATATGTCAGTGTATGAAATAGTTACATTTTCCATTACGTTTCATAGTTTGGGCATATATGTACATTTATGTGTATTTGTAATTCATATATGGAAATTAAACACATGTACATTTACTATTTTTCAGTATGGGTAAAACTAGCAATTTTCCATGATTATTACTAAATTACAAGCTTAAACACAGAAACCTTAGGCCCTTTTTACCTGGTTTCCATTATTTCATTTCGGTACTCTTTCATAACTGAACAAGTTAGAAATGTGGGCGATGATTCAGAGGTCTGGAAACAGCATTGTTGTTATTCCAGCGTCAGAGTAGCTGGCTGAAGCTGATATATTTGACTGTACACTGTACTTACTTATTTACTTGGAGACAAATGATGGTACAAAATGCATAGGAAGGCAGTCAGTGCTCTGTAGCCTGTACTGCTGTGTGAGAAAACTCTAATGTCAAATACAGAAAATGACAGCTCTTGGGCTTTTGAAACTAGCTCATGTTCACATGGATAAAGTGAACTGAGAATACATTGTGGTTCAGCCTAAAATGCTTTGGTTACTGGTTCCTGAAAAGCTGACATTAACAGAGAACCTATCACAGCACCACTCAGCCTGATTCAGCAACCAGAAAAAACCTTCGGTTTCCCAATGTGTCAGTCATATGTGTCACTGAGTATTTCCCAATACATGTGATTTTTAAAGTGACTCTGGAGGCTTTTATTTTGAAGGCACAATCCAGTGCAGTCACATTGTGTGTGTGTCTGGACCGCAGCTTGCTTCACTGGGGGGCGCGTGTTAGTGTGTGTGTTTCACTGATCTATTTAACAGCCGCCGATGACTGCCCTTAAAGGAGCCACGCCCTTTTATTGTTGCTATGACTGACACAATACAGGAGGTCCTGTGTGTGTGTGTGTGTGTGTGTGTGTGTGTGTGTGTGTGTGTGTGTATTGACAGTATTGACTGAATGAATGAAGCCTCTGTGTGCGTGTGTTTTCTCACCAATATTCAGACTGATTGACTGTTGTTTGGCCAAATGAGACTTTCTTCATGTGGCTCAGGCATGTTTACTGCTCAATGAGTGGCACACCTTCACTACTAATCCACTTTGAGAGGATTGACTCGGTGGCTTCATGGTCTAAAATAATAACCTGGTCAGGCTACAGACATGTGGTGGTGGGAGAGGGCGAGCTGCTGGATAGAAGGTCGCCACCTAATCTGAGTGTTTCCTCTAAAATCAGCCGCTCTGCATCTGCTCCTCAGTCAGAGCTGGCAGACTGTGATGTTGTTTTGCAAACTCTTAAGCAGCTCTAACAGATCCGTGTAATAATTAGCAGTAGACAAATGATTAAAAGAGAGCATGTGATTGAAACGTTGCCAGTTTTAGGCCCAATATACTGAAGGAAGCGGCTCAGGGATTCTCAAACCTTCTCTTTTCAGACCTGAAGTATGATGAATGTTTGATAAACGTGGTCCAAAGAGCTCCGAAGAAGTTTGCTGTGTTATTTATCTATTCTGTAATCAAGAGTTAAAGGTGGAGTCAGAGATCCTACAGACTGATTGTTGAAATTCGGTGTGGAGTTCAGCATGTTAGCATGTGCAAGTTTTACCATCCCTCTCGTTCCCATTGCCTTTTTCTTTTTACATCCATAGCCTTTTGCCTGTCGGGTACACTCCATGCTGCCGATCGGCTGGAAGAGCCGGTCAGTTGCTGTTATAGTTTAACGGCACCCAGCAGCATCAGGGGGAAATGTGGCAGGACAAGGACGAAAGTTAAGGCGGGGAACGTTCAACTGGGGCATGCGGTAGGGGTGGTAGATGGGTCCAACAAACACTGACTTTCATCCAAGAGGGCGGTGTTTGTGTCCCACAAGATTCTAAAGCCAAACCCTGTTCTTTTTTCCTAAACCTAACCATGTGTGTTTATTGCTAAAGGAAAAAATAATGTCAGTTCACAGTGTTGTACCAACGTAGTGCATTTATTTTGAAAGAGACTATGTAAATGGTAAATGTCCTGTGAAAACAGAAGTGTATTTTGAAAGAAGACAATGCATGTAACAGGCAGAACTTGACACGGTGTCCCAGAACGTCAACAACCAACACACCCAGGGTACCTTGCCAGTCGTATGTGGACGTGGACAGTCCATGACCAAACGTCAATATGTGACGAGGTCGGAGTGAGAGTGTGTTGGCTGGAACAGTGTTGTGTCGCTTGTTTCCACTGCATAGTACAACATGGCTGTACTCAACGTGACTCGCTTATTTTTAACTGTTATCAGCAAAAGTTGTGGATAGTACCTGGTACTTTCTTTGGTACCACCTCGGTTGATGAGCTGATACCATAAGGTAGAGAAGAGCGAATGCTGTGTTGAAGGTGGGACTTTCACAGAAGAAAATGAAACAGGGAAAAGTACCTGGTACCAAAAGTGAGTCAAGTTGAGCTGAACTCTGCAGTGGAAATTAGGTGCATGTTTGTTTCCCATTTACAGAGTCAGAACTGTGGATGAACACAGGATTTATTTTTCAGTGCACACACAGAAAAGACAGCTAGTGGAGATATTTGCTGAATTTTGCAAAAAGTGTGTTGGATTAGAGTCATTGACTTCACCTTTAACCTTTATGATGAATCATTTACAATAACTAAACCTACCACTTGTTACTAACTTGCACATTTTCCTAGTAACTTCTTATAACCTTACAACCCAACCCTAACCCATGGTGCTCTGGACATCACATTGAGTGCTGCTGTACATATGTTTCACTGTCAAATATAAACATATAGTAAATCCATTGAGTGAGAGAGTGATCACATGAGGAGGAGCCACCGTTGTTGTTTTTAATTATCAGTGTGTCGATGGCCAAAGAAACCTTTAAGCTCATTATTGTCTATTCAAACCCAGACATGAGCGAGGAGCTGCTTAATGAAACAAAAAGAGACCTGGGCTGGACGAGGGCACTCTCTCTGTGTCTCTCTCCAGAGACCCTCGCTTCTTATTGATCCCCACACACTTCCTGCCGGAAGGATGAATCAACGGAAGCCTTGGGGGGGCAGGGGCCACTTCAACCTCCTGGTCATCCACAAACCCGTCACTGTCGCTCTCTCACATCACCTCTGCTTTTTAGTCCCTTTACTTCCACGTCTAAATCCA